ATAACTCATATATTCAAAAGATACATATTGTGAAAATGAGAATGTTGTGATAGTGTGGACATACTAAGGGCGATAAGATTAGAAATGAGGTTATTCGGAGTAAGATAAAAGTGACCTCTAAGGTGAACAAGATGAGAGAAACGAGATTGTGATGATTTAATTTGAATAACTAAAGCGGAGATACGCAAACACCCTAATGAGGATGTAAAAGTGAGAGGTAGGCCTGAAAAGTATTAAGCAGAGATGATTAGACAAGATATGACGAAATTTTTAAACTATTAAAGACATGACCTTAGGTAAGAGGATGTGAATAACACATTTCAAAGGTAGAATGTTAGTAGATGTATAGTGGAGTGTTACCTTGCTTTGGTGCGTTAAGGCTTGTTAGTATTTATAATTGTACTAGCCGTTAACTTGTACATCTATTTTTTTTTAAAAATCTTTCATCATTTGTACTATTATTTCGTGGTGCATGTTCTTGCCTGTACATTGAATTCTCTTATTAGTTATTATGTTTTCATCATAGTTTTCTTCTTCTCTATACGTGAAATTGTTGCATTTTAAACGAGGTTTTTCAATATTTATCAAATGTCATATTTTTTAAAAAATAAAAATAAAAATAGAATGGAAAATAATAATTATTCAGCGGTGAAAAATTAAATATTAAATTGAGAGCAAATATTTTATGAAAGTAACATCCACGTATGACTGTCTTATCTTCATTTATGATCACCAATATTGGTCTTTCATGTTAGTGGCTTTCATCATATGCAACATTACTCTGCACACAGTTGAGCCACTTGTTTGGTTATATTAGACTCACAATTTATATATTTTTGAATAAAAGATAATATATATATATATATATATATATATATAAAAGCCTATGAAATTTCCTTGATCTCACTAAATTGTTATTTTGAAGAAAAATGAATATATTATTGATTAATAGAACATAAATTAAATATTGTATACATTTAAAGATATATAAAAGGTAGTCCAAGCAAATATTTGTACGATTTAAAAAAAGAAGAAGAAGAAACTATAAAGCTGCTTCTTATAATATTCTGCAAAAATTTAGGATTATTCATTAAATAGTGATGGAACCACCAACTTAAAAGTCTAAACTCATCATATTTAAATCTTAAACTTCATTTTTATAAATTAATTTAAAATTATTACAGTGTCTGTATATTAGAAATTTTAACTCTAAATTCGTTTTTTTAACTTTGGTTAATATATACTTAATTTTCCCCGCCCCCATCCCTTAAATTTTGAATTTTGACCTAATTAAGTAACCATAGAGATATTTTTGAATAAAAAGTATAACAACAAAAGTGAATTTAGTCCAAAATTATAATAATATAAATTTTTTAGACATTCTTGATAATTTTCTAATTAATCTAAGATTAAAACATTTAAAATCTAAATTAGCCTGTCCCTACCCCACAAGGCAAAAAGAAAAGAAAAACTCTCTATGATGGCAATTATTCGTAGTATAAATATCAAAGTAGCCTTAATATGAACCACACATAAAAAAAGAGAAAGTATTATTAGTAATAGAAAAAAAAAAGATGGTGCAAGAAGAAATAATGAGAAGAGGTCCATGGACAGAAGAAGAAGATGTGCAGCTTTTATTTTATGTTAAATTATTTGGAGATCGACGATGGGATTTTCTTGCCAAAGTTTCAGGTTTGAAACTAAGGTGATTGGCGGGAGACAAATTATAAAAAAAAAAACATCGTAGTATATAGGTATAAATATTAGTACAAAAAAATAGTCTCTCTATGTTTTATCCCAAATAACAGTTAAGTTTCTAATCTCTTCTTTAATTACTTTTAATTTTAATTATGTATAGTTGTTTGTGATGTGTTTATGTTATGTTTTAGGGTTGAAAAGAACAGGTAAGAGTTGTAGGTTACGTTGGGTTAATTATTTGAATCCTGATCTCAAACATGGGAAAATGACTCCTCAAGAAGAACGTCTTGTTCTTGAACTTCACTCCAAATGGGGAAATAGGTAATTCAAAATATTCACTTTTTAATTTATTTGTACTTTTTATTGTTATGTTATATTATATGGAGGAGCTCTAGCGTGGTTTATGCAATATATTTTAATATCCTTACACGTCTCAAACTATACTTTATTATTATTATTATTATTTTTTAATTTATCATTTTACTTTTGATTGTTAGTTATAATTTTCCTTCCTTTTGGAATGGAGATCCCGTTAGCAACAAGCATCATAGTTATATTTTAAGTTGAAGTTTTGTTATATTCAACAACAAACATGAAGATTGTTAATTTCCATTGTTATACTTCAGGTTAGATTTATTGACAGTTTTTTTCTTTAATTTCAATATATATATATATGATGTTATTTTCTTTATTTTTTGTGTTTAGATGGTCAAGAATTGCCCGAAAAATACCAGGACGTACTGATAACGAAATTAAAAATTACTGGAGAACTCATATGAGGAAAAAGGCCCAAGAACAGAGGAAAAAGTCTTCTGTTTCTCCATCTTCTTCTTCTTCTTCTTCAATCACTCACGAAGAAAATGAAAGAAACTTCTACGATACGGGTGGACTCAAGCTCTTGCAAGTTGAAGGAGAAAAGAAATCTAGTGATCAAGAACAAGATGGAAAAAGTATGAAAGTTTACTCTATGGATGAAATTTGGAAAGATATTGAATTATTAGAAGAAAATGAAGAAAAAATGAATAAACCAATTATGGGGTCCATTTTACCCCTATGGGATTATTCCCTAGACTCACTTTGGAAAGATTTTGATTGGAATAACTTTCGATAGGAACATGACACAACAGATTTCATATATCAAATGGTTAAATTGAGGATCAGAAAAGACGAATTGCTAGGAGGTTCATTTATTTGAAAAGAAAAAACAAAAACAAAATTGTTATAGTTTGTGATAGGTTTTACAAGAAAAATATTAAGTTTTAACTTGTATATTACTATATTATTAGTGGTGAAAAAAATAAAGAAAGATTAGAAGGTGCTAGGCCCCTCTTAAGAGGATTAGTAGTAGTGCTTTGGAATTAAGTCTCTTATTGTAGCCATTTCATGATGCTTTGATTTAATTTCTTTGACTTTTAAGGTTGTTTCAATGTGACATATTTTCGCTATCGAGCATATCTTTTATCTAGTGTTTATGTTATGTATATGTTCATTCAAATTTAATAATGCTAGTTTAAATTTTATATTTGACTTAAGAAATTCATTAAATATATAATATAAACTATTAATTTATAACTCGACAACGTAAAAATATTAAATTTTAAATTTTAATTCCACTTCTATTTGTTAAAATTATTAAATTATGTTGAATCTGTTATTAACGTACTAACTCCGCCCCTGATTCCAAAGACTGGGGATCTGATTAGGATGCAATTAGAGTTAGTGGTGATTTTAACTCTGTAATCCACTACTATTAGCATTAGCACAACTTTCATTTTGATACGGCAAAACGGAAGGACATGATTGGATGATTAAAAAGATAGAAAATATATTCTGCAATCACCTTTGTGCATTAGTGATTAGACTATGATTATTTATACCAATAACTCAAAGAGGAATAGTTTAGTTACCACATAAACACGTAGCTACTCTCTTTATCACACAAATATAGTATTCATCATTCATTATAAATGGTCACAATGATAAAGTTATGTACTATTCTACGCTCAATTATGTGATTGAATAGTTATTATTTTTTTAATTTCATTTTATATAATACTATTTGATCATACGCAATGTGTCAGTATCACTTATTTAATTGATGAAAAAAAAGTTAAAAAGAGTACTATATTAACTTTTTATTAAAGTGATAAGCATGAGTGGTTAGTGATATTTTATATTTAGATGTTACTCAAAAAAATAATAAGGGGACAAACGATAGAATTGAATAATGTGTTGGAAGAATTCAATTAGCTTCTTGTTAATTTTCTAGAAGTGGTAAGTGGTTCTATGACTATATATGCATATCCTTTTCCTCCTAATTTATGTAACAGTTAACTTTTAAAATTCAAAATTGTATAGTAACATTTTAATATATAATTTTATATATACATTGATCATATAAAAAAATATTATAATTTATGACATAACTTAATATTTAGAGCCAAATAGCCACTATTTTTATTGCTAAAAGTTATGAACTTATTATGATAATGATACAAGAACTTAACAATTCTACAACTTGGTCCTGGTAGAAGAGTAATAGTAAAAATGAACAGACCTGTTCAATATGAAACTTTTGAGCACGAGCTCAAATTTAATCAAACGAAAAGAAAGTGGTGGCTACCTCCTCCTTTTATGTACCCTTGGGTCAATTTCCATGTCATACTACTCCCACTAGTATAAGTTAAGCTTAGAAATATCGCAGAATGTATAATCCATAATAATTTTAGTAAAACTAAAGTGTATAATGAGTATATATTTTGTGTATAATCAATATAATACACACTGACTATATCAAGAGACCATTACAATTATTTACGCTGAAGTGTACAATGCCATTAATTAGTGCCAAGTTATTGACTTGATTTTAAAACAATAAGTACTTTATTTCAGAAAGAAATAACTATTGAAATATTTTTTCAAAAAACTTGGCCAACTATGCAAATAATCCAGCAAATAGTATTTATTTATGTCGCTTATTTAATTAAAATTTATGGATTAAAGAATTCTTATCCGTCACCTAATTTATTAGGCATACGTTTAGAGAAATTTACCAAGTTCGATAGGAAATAGGCGACATAACTGGTTATGACTTTTTTTAAGGCATAACTAATGTAATATTATAATATGAAAACATAAATTTATGAAGAATAAAAATTGCTGTATTTATTAATTGGATATCAAGATATTTTTGTGGGCCCTGTTGTTGTACAATTGGTTGATATTGAAGCTAAAATTGAGGACCAAATTTAGTATATGCCATAGGATTTACCAAATTATCTCTAATGGCTAAATTGCAGATACTTTATCTCTTCTCTTACAATTTTCTTCAGTTTGTTGGATGGTAAATTTCTTTTCCCTTTCACAATTTTTATTTTTAAAAAATTATATTCATAATGTTCCAATATTATATGTGATGATGGATGACATGAAAATGTAGGACCTTAGCCCTTTTTAGAATTTTGAGCAATTTTATTTCCACCAAGTCTGTCACTGAGGCTTATGCTTCTGCTGGTGAACTAATTTGTGAGTTCCAATTTATTACTTATTTCCTTAATTAATCTCAATTTCATTAAGAAAAAGAAAAAAAACATCCCATTTTTTATGTTTGAGTAAATTTGTGATCTTTATGGTTTAGGTTTGCTGCAATGTTGTGCATTCTTGGAAGTTATACATGGGGCTATTGGTAAAGTATTTTTAATTGGTTACATTTGACAATAGGTAGCTAGAGGCGGAGCCAGAATTTGGAATTCTAATTATCTTTTTTTTAGTTATTGGCTTCAAAAATAATAATTTGTTTCAAAAATAATAATTTGTACATATCCAATGTAGAAATTTTTTTGAACCAAAGTTATTGAGTTTGGCCGAATCTGTAACCAACACACTGGCTCTGCGGCTCCGCCTCTAGCTAGCTAGCTCATATTCTGATTCCTGTTTTTTTGGGGGGTTATGAAGGGATTGTTCCTAGTGGGATAGTGCTTCCTCTGATGCAATGGAGTGGAAGAACTCATTTTTTGCTAGCAATTGTTCGTCAAATTGTTGAGGTTTTGTATCTTTCGTATCAAATCACACTTATGTTTATGCATTAGCTACTCAAATATGATATGCTATGTTGCTCTAACTCCATGAAAACGTTGTTGCACCCATGTCAGATACTCCAAAATGCACTACTTTTGGAGGATCCGGCTCGCATCTGGTGATATTTTTGAAGAGTCCGAGCGACATAGAGTACTTGCTCTTTTTACATAGTATTGTCGCGGGGTTAATTATTGGTGACAATAACATGATTTATGGAAATTTAGTAATGCAATGAAATCTTTCTTTTTGCTAATTTCTGTTCGTTGTTAGCATTAGTATTTAGTAGTGAACACAAAGATGATTCTTGTAGGTCCAGGACTCGCCTTCAGTGTTCATAACGTTTTCCTCTTGGAGCTTAAGTGAGGTGAGTTAATTTTCTTCATCTCTTCGCCTTTCTTACATGTTACTCTCATTTTCTTTTTTCCTTGACTTCTTCCCCTCTTCTTAATTTAGTTGATTCATGTTTTTAGAACTTTAAGCCGTTATCTTTGTGGAACTTCCTTGAAATGACTTTAGAACTTACTCCCATTGAAAGCAATGGCTGGAAATGGAAGAAATCAATTGTGCTGGATGGACTTTTGATGTAAGTGAGCACATGAAAGGGACTACAAGGAGTATATTTATGATGATCAGAAAATCATGATGTTCTAGAGGTTAGACTTTGAAGTGAGGTACCTTTCGTCATTTGTTCCCCTCGACAAGCTATTGTGGAACTAACTCTGTAGGTGTGCATTGTACTTGCTAACAATCTGAGGTCAGTCTAACCTTGTAGTAGTGATGAGAAGTGACGGTTAAGGAAAAAGGCGATGAATGTACATACTTGGAGATAAATGCATGTGACCTGACTTATATTCTACGTTCTTGCGAGACAGCCTGTTCGATTCACTTGTTAATCCCTCTGTTAGATAAATGTATGAGACCTGATTTATTAGGATATTGCATCTTTTTAACTTCTTGAAATTGACAGTCGTTGGGAAAGAAACGGTAAAATAGGACTGAGGTAGGCCACAATGTGAGTTGTCTGATTCATATCATTGTACAAAAATACAGGAAGTCGCTATATTTACTCATACACATGCTCGGTAACAATAGTTTCCTCTACGGATAAGAAAAGAAACTACACTTAATCTTATCCCATAGGCCGAGAAAGGTAGATTGACAGTTTGGTATATTGTGTAGAGGTATTTTCTTAGTTCAGTTTTCTGTCTTATATTGTACTTTTTAGCTGGGAGTCTACTTTTAAATTGAAAAGCATTTATTCAGTTACTGAAGGGAATAAGATTGTTGAGAAGTTCTGCATTTAATTGATCCGCTGCATATGCCACATGACCGAAAGATGATACATGTAGAATTTACGTCATAGGTTTTGCTCAACCATGAGTGTATTTCCTTCTAGGCAATTCTCAGAATCATTTCTACCATTTGTGTCATGGCAGGAAGATTCTGTTCTCCTCTGTACTACACTAATTATCCTATGTCATCTTCATATGCTTATCTCCTAAATCCAACAAACTGATCAACTTTGTTTCACTGGAAATCTGTTTTTTTCCTCAGAAGTAACCAACAACATAACCAGTGTAATCCCACAAGTGGAGTTTAGGGAGGGTAGAGTGCGCTGTACGCATGCAGAGGTAGAGATATTTATATTGTTTCTGATAGAACCTCGGTTTTAGATATAAGCGTTTCCAAGCAGTTTGAGAAAAGGAATACAATACATCAAAGCAGTAGCAACAACGAACTAATGTGAATGCCTCAAAAGTAACCAACTAATGATAATTAAAACCCGACACTCCCTCCATCTTCAAGTCCTTTTCCATAAGTTACTCTAATATGAAAAACATATCAATTGTCATAATTAGAAACTCAGTGCATCTTCAAGGAAGTTAAATGACCTTGTTTCTACTTCCACAAGAATACTTAGAACTGAAATTTCCGAACTCCTTCTTCCTATTCCTGTGGTGTATTTTTGTTAGTGAAATGTGGATATATAATATTAAAATGTCCGCACACTAACAATTTTAATTAACAGTCTAAAAAGGTTTGACATGTCTGCATAAGTTGTATCTCCCATTAGACCAAGCACTTAATAATGCTATAACATTTAATGACGGCTCATTTCTATCAACTTTAGTTTTCACTCCTAAAGCTATCCTACTAGTTATAGAGTACCGGTTTGGTGATTTAGTGGTTGAATGGGTATCACAATATCCATTTGGTTACAAAAACACTATGTGATTCAAAGCTAAGCTAACCGTATCCACTTTATCCTTATTAATTTGCAATGTTTTAGTGCACAGTAATGTATAAGCGGTACTTTTAGGGAAAGTGTACTGAAATTGAAATGCCGAAAGCTCACCTTTAGGCAAAAGCTTTACGAACCTAATCTCAGGCCCAAATATTTTACCTGTCGCGTCCTAACTTTTCCATCTTTTGGTCTTCACTTCATCCTTTTGATCATCTTCCGTTGATCTTGCATGATGATAAACTTTAAACAATTGTATGATCCTGTTTTGCTACTCAATGCAGGTGATCAGATACTCGCACTATGCTTTGAGTTGCATTGGCAGTCCACCGTACTTGATCACATACCTCAGGTTCGAATTCTCTTGCAGAAAATAATTCCTCTAGTTACTAAGGAGAGAGTATATTATATTCCTCGGAATTTTTTTGGTTTTTAATATGTTTTTTGCCTATTAGGTACACTGCTTTCATTCTACTGTATCCCGTTGGAGTCGGACCTGGTGAAAGTAAGCTAACAATTTTGTTGAAACTAATTTTATTTCATCCATTTCTTTTTGTGGTCTCTTTGTCTTGTATGTGTAAAATCTGAAAATCTTCGACTTCATTTCTGTGCAGTATGGCTTATGTACCAGGCACTTGCGTTCATTAAAACGAGAAATCTGTATGCAGATACTCTTCCTTTCAGTTATTATAACTTTGTCAAGGTACTTTTCGATATCCTGAAACAAAGAGTAATTTCTGCTGGAACTTTAATACGCGAAACAATTTTTAGTGCCGAAAGATAACTTTGGCTTTTGCCACCATAACAATGGGCTCCTTCAGCTTTACTTTTGCATCAATTCTCTCCCCATTTCTTTAGAAGAATTTCGGGGCTCATTCTGTATATAGCTTTGATTTCTCGGATTTGATAAGGCACTTACTCTGGATGAAACTTTAAAACATAGAAATGCAACTTAAATTGTGCTACGTAGCAATGTTGCAAGTGGATCAGCGTTTCTAGTTGATATTGGTGCGTCATTCATAAGCATAAAGAAGTGGCATAATACATATGTATATACCTGTTCAACTTTGCATATTTATGTACATCCAGATGTTAGCTAATGCCATATTAAAGAGCATGGATATATATTTATGTCAATGTTATTTTTTTGTTATAAACTACTTCATTTTTCATTTCTAACTTCAGGTTCTGCTTCTGTTATACCCTCTTCTATGGTTCAAACTTTATCTGCACTTGTTCAAGCAACGCCGATCAAAGCTGGGTAAATATCACAAGACAAAGAAGACATGAGAGTCCATGAAATTAATCTTAAATAAATTAAAAGTCTCTTGGATTATTTTATTTCACATTTTGTTATGGATATTAATCAGTTATTTTATTCCATTATATGTACTAAAATGATGGATTACATGTCCAATATAAAAGGCAAGTAAGCTAATCACATGAAATATCCTTGTCTATTCCGTGCAACGATCCATCAACAGACTTTCTGTTGGTGAATGTTCAAATATAATTTGTTTATCTGAACCTGGTTTAATATCTATTGGAGAAACTTAACATTCGTATGCTTGTGAGAATTACCCACTAAAACAAGATAACAAGTACTATATAAAGTACCAAAAATATATTAAGCCAGTATTACTAAAAATATATTGATTGTGTCCTCACCATTTTATCTTCACCATATCCCCGTTGCCCACCCCCTACCTTTTGTCTCAATTATATACAAATATATAAGGATACTAATTTTTATTTATATATCAAACACAAAAAGAAAATATATTTCAATCTCATTTTTCTATTTTCCATAAGATGTAAAATACTATTAGGGAAATGAACATTACAGCAATCTTCAATTATACCTTATAGGTGTAAGTAAGTTTGAATAACGTATGTATCATCAATCATGCATGCATCCTATCATAGAAGAAAAGAGTTGTAAAAACCTTTGCGCATGTGAATTAATCCCTTTATTGACAAGATAATTTAATAGGGTTTCTTTGAGTGAAAATGTATCCAAGCTAACCCACATTACCAATTCCTTTCCTCACAAGATTTGTAGACATTTTTTTTATCAAATGATTTCTCCTGACATGCAGAGACCTTTATTTCTTCATTTTGAGTTTTCCTTTTAATTAATTAGTTTGAAGAAGCTACTCCAATGTTCAAGGAAAGGTACACATACAGATAGTTACTAGTATAATTTTGTAAGTACTAGCTTTATGGCCAAGTGATACCATATATTTGATGAAGTAGCAACATAACACAGACAATAATAGTTCACTCTAGCTACTAACTTGTATTTGGGAAAAGAAAGGCAACTTTTAAAGGAAGCTAGCAATAAAATAATGCAATTATGAACGAGAGTAGTCTAGTATAAAATGGGGGATGTAGTAATGGAAATTTCATCACTCATTGTAACACAATTAGAGAAGAGCAATGGGAAGCGGCCACATTATTGTTGTGGGCTTGGGGATTGTGATGGTAATGTTTATAGCATTAGCAGAGGCGACTCCCCCGGGAATAGCTGATCATCCAAGCCATTCTCATTGCTCAGATGATGAGATTAAGCAATGTAAAAATCTTCCTCATGTCTGTCCTAAATTCTGTCCAAATGGATGCATAACCGAGTGTCGTTCTTGCAAGCCTATTTGTGTTGATGGCTCAGTCCCACCATCTCCTCCCAAGGAAGAAACTCCACCAGTACCTTCTCCTCCACCTAAGAAAGACA